TTGTGTACTGCATCATCACTGTGTCTGTCACGCGACTCTGTTGCCCTTTCGGGCTTGAACTGATGGGAAAACTAACAACATTATTAACTGTCTTGATATTTACTTTGAAAGCTGAAGCTCGCGATTATGGTAAGGGGCTTTCAAACTGTCCTGTGCACTCGCAAATCTCTCTGTGCTCATGCGCTAGATATTAATTCTTTTCGCACCTGAATTAAACGTTGTCAAATGTTATCAACCAATCAGATTTCAAAGATGGATCTGTAATTTATTTATAATTTAATACTACTACTAAGTAATAATAATCAAATATTAGAAATGAATCGGGAGCTTGGATTATTTGTAAATAACCTAGTTTAACAGTTTGGTCAAACCCCTCTGAGCGATTTATCTAAACACAAACAAAAACGTAGACCTATATGATTCTTAAAGTTCATGTGGTCATTTGTTGTTAGTCACTCAAATAAATAGCAAGCACTTTGAGTTTCTTGTTCATCTTACTTATTTTTATATAAAGGCAACAGAACTGAAATTATATCATGTTAATCAGCAGCAGAGCACGAGTGAGAATAACGCGATATCTGCCTTTGATCTCGTTGGTATCTGTTCACTTCGAGAGGTCAGAACTGTCCGTCTTGACTGCGCTTATTTCACTCCTCCCCTCACTGCAGCCGCCTACTCTCGCCTTCATTTCAGGCGAGGCCAGGGGCGTCTCAAACAAGCCTAATCCTTTTCACTTCGTCATTTCTTGGAACGTGGGAAAAGAGCTCGCGAGTTTCGTTTCTACCGCTGTTCTATCAACACCCCTCCGCTCTGAAGAGTTTGATTGACGGAAGCTTCTACCAATTGTGTTGGTCAAATGTGCCCGTCTGCGCCAATGAACTAACGCGACGGTTTCACTACGTAACAAGATGGGTGGGATTTAATGATTCAGTGGGTGAGCAAAAGAACAACGCGTTGGAAACTCTATGGACCCTTTTCACAAGGCTGTGATGACGCGTTTAACGGTCATCAGCATCGTAAATCCTCGAATGTTTTTCATATTTGTATGTTCTTAAAAATATATCTACGTTTATAACACTATTCTTTGTATTATATCACCTTTGCATCAAATTACAAAAAAAAAAGTTAACGTTAACACGAGGGTGTTTCTAATGCAGCGTCTATGGGAGGGACGATAAACATAGTTGCCAAGTCCGCGTATTATACGCGACTTTGGGATTCTTTTTTTGTAAAGTTGCGTGAAAAAAATCCGGGTCGCGGGTTGCGGTTTTTTTGGGCTTATTTAAAAAAATATGGTTGCTTGTTAGGGAAATCTGACAAGCAACTTAGTTTCTTTATTTATGTTCGCCGTATTCTCCAATGCATTGGTTGACACTCTGTCTGCTCACAGTTAATAGCCAACCAGTGCAATATTAGGCTTGTTTGAGATGAGCAAAATCTGCGCAGAACCGATCACCGGTGATCACCGCGAGATGCATGCCGGTTAGAAATGTGTCCGATTTACGTCCGACTTGCTCTGACGTGTGCCAAAAAACTCTCGCGACGGCGAGGCGGCTGTGTCGGATTGTGTAGTCGAGCGCAGTTGCTCTCCACCGACTGCGCTGATCAAAAGCATGATGGGAAACGACTGAC